AAAAAATAGATGTGACACACTGAACACTTATGACCAAAGACAAGATACTTCTGGGATGATACTGGGGACATCAAAGATTAAGAAAGCAAAAATGTCACTAAAGAGGCAGGAAAGAAAGAAAAGACTAAAATGGATGTCGGCAGAGACTGTAAAACTTGCTCTTGAATGTAGAGTAGCTAAAGTGAATAGAAGTGATGAGAGTAAAACAGCTGAACGGAAGATTTAAAAGGGTAGCTGTAGAAGACAAAGTATTACAATGAAATTTGCAAAGACCTGGAATTAAAAAACAAAAGGGATACAGTTTTCAAGCTGAAAGAACTGAAGAAAAATTTGAAGCCTCAAGTTGTAAGACTGAAGGATCCTATGGGAAAACTATTGAACAACAAGGAAGCAGCAAAAGAAGATGGAAGGAATACAGAGTCACTTTACCAAAAAGAATTGGTCGACTGTCAACCATTTCATAGATACGAAAATTATAAGCCACATAAGCTTGTCAAGAAGTAACTTAAAAATAGACATTAGAAGTTAATACTGAAAGTGGACCTTCAGCAGAACCTAGAAGGAGAGGAAGGCGGAGAAGATGGTCAGCATCAGGACAAACATTGTTCGATCCGTACTGAAGTTGTCAGTTGCTGTCAAGTCGATTCCACCCCATGTGTGCAGAGCGGAGCTGCTCCACAGGCCCTCCAAGGCTGTGACCTTCAGAAGCAAACCGCCAGCCTGTCCTCTGTGGTGCCTCCAGGCAGCTCCACACCACCAATTTTCCAGCTAGTAGTCAAGTGGTTAACCAACTGCACCACCCAGGGGCCCCTCAGCCCACATGAAATGCTCCCCTTGGACAAGCAGATGTAGTTTAACAATGAGTATTCCTCACTGTGAAATAAAAACCTGGCATTTTGATGTTCACATAATCCCACGAGTTCATTCAGCATACACAGAGTAAACAATTTCTAGTTAGCCACTTCATGTTGAGTCAAAACAAATTTTCTGAAGGAAACCTAGGAGTTTCCAGTGTTCAATTAGGGTTTTAAATCTAGGCCTAAAGCATAAAAAAGAGTTTCCAGCCTTTTCACCACCAAAAGCATCTCTTAATTTTCCATTATTGCTGTTAGGTGCTATTGAGTTGTTTCCAAATCATAGCAACCCTACGTACAAGAGGATGAAATACTGCTCAGTCCTGGTCATCTTCACAGTCTTTGCTACGCTTGGACCCACTGGTGCAGCCGTTGTGTCACTCCAACTTCTTGAGGGTCTTCTTCTTTGTAACTGACCTCTACTTACCAAGCATGATGTCCTTGTCCAGGGACTGGTCTCCCTTGATAACATGTCGAAAGTATGTGAGAAGAAGTCTCACCATTCTCGCTTCTAAGGAACATTCTGACTGTAGTTCTAAGGCAGATTTGTTCATGCTTCTCACAGTCCACATACATTCAATACTCTTCACCAGCACTATAATTCAAAGGCATCAATTATTTAGTCTTTCTTACTAATTGTCCAGATTTACCATGCATATGAGGTGACTGAAAATATGGCTTCAGTCAAGTGCACCTTAGTTTAGTCCTCAAAGTGACTTCTTTGCTTTTTAACACTTTAAAGAGGTCTTTATAGCAGATTTGTCCAATGCAATAGGTACTTGATTTCTCGACTGCTGCTTCCATGGGCACTGATTATAGATCCAACATGAAATCTTTGACAACTTCAACCTTTTTCTGTTTATGATGCTGCTGCTTATTGATTCCATTATAAGGATTTTTGTTTTCTTTACGTCGAGGTGTAATCCATACTGAAGGCTGTAGTCTTTCATTTTCCTCAGTAAGAGTTTCAACTCCTCTTCGCTTTCACCAAGTAAAGCTGTGTCATCTGCATATTGCAGGTTGTTGATGATTCTTCCTCCAGTCCAGATACCAAGGTCTTCATATAGTACAACTTCTCAGATTATTTGCTCATACAGATTGAATAAGTATGGTGAAAGGATACAACCCTGACACACACCTTTCCTGATTTTAAACCATGTGGTATCCCTTGTTCTACTTGAATGACTGCTTCTTGGTCTATGTACAGGTTCTACATGAGCACAATTAAGTGTTCCGGAATTCCTATTCTTCACAATGTTATCCATAATTTGTTATGATACACACAGTTGAATGAATACCTTTGCATAGTCAATAAAAAACATCTTTCTTTTATTCTCTGTTTTCAGCCAAGATCCATCTGACATCAGCAATGATATCCCTTGTTCCATGTTCTCTTCTGGATCTGGCTTGAACTTCTGGCAATTCCCTGTTGAAATACTGCTGCAAATGTTTTTGAATTATCTTCAGCATAACTTTACTTGCATGTGGTATTAACGATAATTAATATCATAATAATTATTATTATATTAATGGGGTTGGTAGTACCCTCGAGATGGCTCTGACTTGTAACGACCCTATGTACAATAGAATGAAACACTGCCAGTCCTGCACCATCCTCACAACCTTTGCTATACTTGAGCCCATTGTTGCAGCCACTGTGTCAATCCATCTTTTTGAAGGTCTTCCCCTTTTTCACTGACCCTCTACTTTATCAAGGATGACATCCTTCTTCAAGGAATGGTCTCTTCTGACAACATGACCAAAGTAGGTGAGATGAAGTCTGGCCATTCTCACTTCCAAAGACATTCTGGTTGCACTTTCTTCAGGACAAATTTGTTCATTCTTCCCGCAGTCCATGGTATTTTCAGTATTCTTCGCCGACACCATAATTCAAAAGCATCAATTCTTCTTATTAATAATTTGTTCAATAATTTCCACATTCTGCTAGATCACTTTTCTTTGGAATGGGCACAAATTTGGATCTCTTCCAGCAGGCTGGCCAGGTAATTGTCTTTCAAATTTCTTGGCATAGATGAGTGAGCACTTCCAGCATTCCAGCCACTTGTTGAAACATCTCAATTGGTATTCCATCAATTCCTTGAGCCTTGTTTTTTTTTTTGCTAATTCTTCAGTGTATATTAAAAAGGTGCTCTGGTAGTGCAGTGGGGTTAAGGCATTTCGTTGCAAACCAAAAGGTTGGCAGTTCGAACCCACCAGCTGCTCTGAGGAAAAAAGATGAGGCAGTCTGCTTCTGTTAAAAGTTATAGCCTTGGAAATCCAAGGGGATGCTGCTATAAGTTGGAATCAACTTTATGGCAGTGAGTTTGGTTTGAATTTAGTGTATCTTGGACATCTTCCTCAATACCATCAGTTCTTAATCATATACTACCTCCTGGAATGGTTGAACATTGACCAACTCTTCTTGGTATAGTGAGTCTGTGTATTTCTTCCATCTTCTTTTGAGGCTTCCTGCATCATTCAGTATTTTGCCTATAGAATCCTTCAATATTGCAACTCAAGGCTTGAATTTTTTCTTCAGTTCTTTCAGCTTGAGAAATGCCAAGTATGTTCCTCCATTTTGGTTTTCTGAGTCTCTGCACATTTTAGTATAATATTTTATGTTCATGAGCCTCCCTTTGAAATATTGTACTGAGCTCTTTTAACTCATCACTTCTTCTATTCACTTTAGCTACTCTACATTCAAGAGCAAGTTTCAGAGTCTATTCTGATATCCATTTTGGTCTTTTCTTTCTTTCCTGCCTTTTTAGTGACATTTTTGCTTTCTTAATCTTTGATGTCCTCAATATCATCCCACAGGTCATCTTGTCTTTGGTCATTAGTGTTCAGTGTGTCACATCTATTCTTGAGATGGTATCTGAATTCAGGTGGAATATACTCAAGGTATTACTTTGGCTCCCACAGACTTGTTTTAATTTGAACTTGCATATGAGCAATTGATGGTCTATTTCTTAGTCAGTTCCTGGCCTTGTCCTGACTGATGATACTGAGCTTCTCCATCAACTCTTTCCACAGACATAGTCCATTTGATTCCCGTATGCCATTCAGTGAGGTCCACATGTACAGTCACCATTTATGTTGTTGAAAAAAAGATATCTGCGATGAGTAAGTCATTGGTCTTGCGTAATTCTATCATGAAATTTTGGGCATTTCTTCTATCCCAAGGCCCTATTTTCATCTTTATTTCCAATAGGAGCATTCCATTCGCCAGTAATTATCAATGTATCTTGATTGCATGTTTGATCAATTTCAGACTGCAGAAATTGGCAAAAAATCTTGAATTTCCTCATCTTTGGCATTAGTGGTTGGTGTATAAATTTGAATAAGAGTCATATGAACTGGTCTTCCTTGTAGGCATATGGACAATACCCTATCATTGACAGTATTGTACTTCAGGATAGATCTTGAAATGTTTTTTTCAACAGTGAACTCAACACTGTACCTCTTCAATCTGTCATTCCTGGCATAGTAGACCATACGATTGTCTAACTGAAAATAGCCAACACCAGTCTATTTCAGCTCACTAAATGCCTAGGATATCCATCTTCAAGTGTTTCTTTTCATTTTTGACAAATTCCAATTTTCCTAAGTTCATATTTCATAAATTCCACATTCCGATTCTTAATGGAATAATAATAATAATAATAGTTATTTCTTCTCATTTTGAGTTATGTCACATCAGTCAATGAAGTTCCTGAAAGCTTTACTCCATTCATGTCATTAAAGTTGACTCTACTTTGAGGAAGCAGCTCTTCCTCAGTCATATTCTGAGTGCCTTCTAACCTGAGGGGCTCCTCATCCAGCACTATATCCAACAATGTTCTGCCACTACTCATAAAGTTTTTACTAGCCAACTTTTTTTTAGCAGTAGATCACCAGGTCTTTCTTCCTCATCTGTCTTAGTCTGGAAGCTCTTTTGAAACCTATGCACAATGGGTACCCCTGCTGGTATTTGAAATACCAGTGGCACTGTTTCCACCATCATAGCAACATACAAGCCACCGAGTACAATCAACGAACAGGCCAGTGGTGGTCTGACTCTTAACACACAAAAAATGGTAAATTACAGAGAATATAAATCATCTTCAAACAAAAGGAAATTTTAGTATCTGTTAAAATGAAAACTACCTGGTTTCTTGGGATGTGAAGCTGGAGTAGGGTGCATCTTAGCATCTCTGGAAAACCCATCTAAGTTTCCTTTTATGGCTTCCAAAGCATCATCTCTACTCTTCTCTCCTGTCTAAGAGACAACAAAAATATGTATGCTTATTCACTTACTTCTTGCTTCCTTCCTTCTAAACCCACCCAAGTTAAAAGTAGAGATATTATTTCTAACATTTTAATCAAAATGAACCCCCAGAGTCAAAGGCATTGATAAACTATAAAACAAAGGTATAAAATGATACTCTGTTGAATATAAAAATTTCAAAAGTCTTGTTCATAAATACTTCAGGGAGGTACTAGATATTAAGTATCCTGAATTAAGAAAAACTCATTAATAAATAGGACTATAAAACAAATAACACCTGTGTAAAATGTGCTCCTTAGAAAAGTCAATTATGTAAGACCAAAAGGGCAACATTTAAAGACAAGATGACAAGGACGGACAGGAAAAGTGGACAAACGGAAACAGGGAACCCAGGAAGGAACTAGGGAAAGTGCTGATACATTGTGGGGATTGTAACCAATGTCATCAAACAATGTGTGTATGAACTATTGATTGGGAAACTAATTCGCTATGTAAGCGTTCACCTAAAGCACAATAAAATATTTTTAAAAAGGAAATTAAAAAAATAAAAAAGCTAAACACATCTTCCTATCAGTAAGTTTAGGATGAAGGAGCCCTGGTAGCACAGTGGTTAAACACTTGGCTGCTAACCGAAGATGGGTAGTTTGAACTCACCAGCTGCACTGAGTAAAAAAGTCGTGGCAGTCTGCTCCCGTAAAGATCACAGCCTTGGAAACCCCATGGGGCAGTTCTACTCTGTCATAAAGGGTTGTTATGAGTCCAAATTGACTCAACAATACACAACAAGTTTAGGATTGAACTTGTTCCCCAAAAAAGATTATAAACATTGCCATGGTAGTAAAAAGAATTGAGATGATAATGGCTGACATCCTACTCCTCAACAACAGAGCATCTTTACAGAAAAAGAAAAAAAAACCCTTCACTTCAGGACACAATAAGCAAAAATGAATGAACCACAGCCTTGGGTTGCTGTTTCAACAATAAAAAAAATGTGAAGAGGCATATTTGTAGGAAGGGTAAGGATACATTACCTTGGGTTTCACGCTACTCAGAAGTCTGAGCTTTTGCTTCTGTTCCTCGAACTGGCGTCTTTTTCTTTCTTCTTCTAAGAGTTTTTGCTGCTGTTCAAATCGTTTTCTATAGGAAAAACAATCTAGTGAAGAACCAGCTTCAGGCACTATCAACTGTGTTATAGTGATTTCTACAATGGTTTCAGCAATATCATCTTGCATTTGTAGACCTATGAGCTCACTCCACTGCTATTATATCTAATTTTACTCTTATGAGAATACTATTTTCCCACTAAGTTAATATCAAAATATTTGAAATGAGTCTAAAAATGATTTACCTAAGTGTGACATATAATTTATTTCCTAATTTGCCAGGCAGGAGACAACTTTTTCATATAAAGTAATCTCAAAACA